ATTGAGAACATTGTTCCAAGAGTGAGTGAAGAGATTGCTTATTTCGAGTATATATTAAAGAAAGACATACATGGGACATATCAAGGAGAAAACGACGAAGGTTTGCAAAGGTTTACAGTCATGCCAAACACAGTGTTGGTTAGAGATTCAGGGGTAGTGAAACAATTAAATCCGCAAATCACCAAAACCTTAGAGAATAAACACGAAGTATTGGTGAAATATCCTAAACAAGAGACTCTGATTCAAGGACAAGCGTATGACCTACGACTGAAAGCTAAATATGTAAGAGGACAGTTAACGTTTACTGGTTTGTAAAAACAGGATGCTTTTATACGTGTCACTAGTTTTAGGAGGTCAATAAAAATCACACAAAGTTTACAGTTGAATCAGGTGTATTTTATTTTACTGGGTGCTGCTTAATTGTTGATAGAGTTGGACATATTTGGACTGCAACTCAGTGAGTTCCTGCATAAGCTGTGCTACAGACATTTTCTGGGGTTTTTTAGAGGTCTTGAGTAACTGAGAGCGTTCGCCTTCCCGTTCTTTTTTCATGGCTTGATAACTGGTTTGATCTTGTACAAGTTTTTTCTCCTCGTCCAACATCATTTGCTCTAAAATGACACAATGCACTTGTTCACAGGCCGCATTGACAACTGCTTGTGATTCGGGCGAATCCATTTTTGGGTAAGGTCGTAATGATTTGAACCGTTTAGGAAATGAACCCTTCTTGAGATGGTGTCTAAATCCTTTGATGGCTTTTTCACGATACTTGATGCGGGCCTGGATGGCTTGCAATTTTTGACGATAACTTTTTAGTGTAGATTTCTTACTTTTTACGGTAGGTTCCATATTTTTCTCAGTGGGCTCAGATTGATCTCCTATGGCGGTGTTTTCTTGGATAAGATCAGAGACAGTGCCTTCGAGTGCAGACATGTTTCCCATACAAGAGGTGAGATAAAAATGATTTCTTAACGTGAGACCGATGTCAATTTATAGCCTGAGGTGAGATCTGAAAAACATAAAAGAATAGTTCGTGTGAAACTATCATTCATTTAACACAAGGTATCATGAAGATAGGACTGCATGATGAATGGTCTCCAGTAGAGGAACCGTGGAATCAAGATTTAGAAGACATGTGGATTACACATGAGCAAACAGAGAGAGAAATGTACCCTGAGAATCAGGAGAATTGCCATTGGATGGAGTTAGCATTGGATGATCCCTTGTTTCAAGTCAGTTATACCCAAATATTTGGTTCTAATTTATATGTCGTTGACATAACCCAAAAGCCTCCGTCAAAAGAAGGTATGAGAAATATGGATTTTGAAATAGTGTATCCTATATACCACGGATTGAATGACATTATTGAATTAACAAAACCTTCCAAGACATCCAAGATTAAAATCAGAGCCTCCTCCAGAGAACATTGGGAGGTCGTCTATACCTGTGAATTCCGCGTAGATCAGTGGTCTTATAACAAAATGGATGAAATCATGGACGGGTTAGCGGATCAGCTTACTATGAAACAAAACTTGAATGGAGGTTTGCTCATACAGTTGTCTTTCAATGAGTAGATTGAAGTCAAAATTTGCAGTCAAAGTTTGCAGTCAAAGTCAACAACTAAAAATCTTATGTGTGAAAAAGTCTACAAAAATAAAATTCTTATGTGTGAAAAAGTCTACAAAAATAAAATTCTTACGTGTGAAAAAGTCTACAAAAATAAAATTCTTATGGGTGGAAAAAGTCTGCAACTTACAAATGTGTCATCCAAAGGTCCCAAGGCCCCTACGAAAAATTCTTAAGGCCCAAGGCCCCTACAAGGCCCCTACAAGGCCCCTCAGACCACCAAGGCCCCGGGGCCTTAAAGGCCCCTAAAATTATCAAGGTCCCAGGGACCTTATAAGGTCCCTCACATTTTAATGGGTCTAAAAAACTATAAATAGAACGAATTCATTATGTTAGTCATCACAATCATTTGTGTTAAGACTTCGTAGTGTCAAGATGCCTTACTGCCACAGACGTGTGTGTCCTATTTGCGGAAAACAGGATTTACTAAAGCTAAGCGAACACTTACGTCAGGTTCATCATTTATCTAGCGATGAACGACAATTGTACTTGAAGAACGCTACATTTTCACAGTCGTTCTCACCAATTCTTAATGCTTCAGGATGTTTAGAGATACAACCTTACCCTGAGTTTAAGTTTCAACACCCGGCATCAATGATGGTCGTAGGACCTACTCAGAGTGGGAAATCCTATTTTGTGGAACAATTGCTTTCAAGCAAACGTATCAAATACCCAAGTAGGAAAACCACAAAGATTCAATGGTTTTACACCCAGTGGCAACCACTGTATGAACGCATACAATCGACACTCGGGAAAAGTATTACGTTTACTCAAGGGTTACCAGTAGTAAACGACAATTTAGAAGACATCAATGATCAGGTTCATAACCTATGGGTGTTTGATGACTTGATGGAAGAAGCTGTGCAAAGTCCACTCATATCTCAGCTGTTTACTCGTGGCCGTCATCGTAATTTAAGTGTCATTTTACTGTTACAAAATATGTTTCCCAAGGGGAAATTTAATACCAACATTTCACGAAACGCCCTATACATGGTATTGTTTCGTAGTCCTAGTGATCGAAAACAAATGGACATCATGGCGGAGCGAACATTTGCGAAGGATAGACCGAAATTTATGTCTGCTTATATGAAAGAAACCGAAAAACCCTACGGGTATATTATTTTAGACAATCACCCTAAAACAGCCAGCGAGAAACAAGTGATTGCTAATGTCTTTGGTAACTGTTATACTTACCCGAACATCACAAAAAGTACGCACACAGTCCCAAAGATAACAGACGTACAACCAGCAGTCACACACAACGTTGAAAGTCCGAAGCAACTAGTCAAACGTAAACGTGAAAAGCCACCCGCAAAGAAAACGAAAACAGTGAAACAGACTGCGAAGAAGAAACAAACGAAACCTACAGTGAAAAGGTCAAGAAAACCAGCTATCTATAAACCCAAGGTTATAAGAGAAAGCTCTGAGGAGGAGGACATTTACTCCAACGAAGACGAAAAACCAAAAGACTTACTGACAGAACTACGCGAACTCGCTAAACAAGAATATTTAGCTAGACAGCCACGCAATGGATTCAGATTTAATCCTTCGTATGCATAATGCATTTTTGTTCATAACATTGTCAATAAAATATGTTTAAAACCTTTATTTCTTGTGTCTTTTACTAGTGTACTAAAATTCCCTACATTTACTATAGCGGACCGCCAAGGAAACACCTTTTTCAGTCTAAGTCTTGTAGTCATGACCTGAGCGATCTATCATGGGTCAATTTGAGTCTTACATCTTGTAGAGCAAAGGTTCTCACTCTTTTGGTAGTTTAAAGTGAAGTTATTACTGACAAAGTGTTCACACGAGCACTTTTTTCCACGTAGCCGCCATCTTGGATTATTGCGATCGACACTCCGATAAGTTCAGTCCGATAGGGCTAAGAATGTGGAGTTTTACTGCGGGTAATAAGTTTTACTGTAGGTAAAAAGTTTATTCCTAGGTAAAAAGGACATGGCTAAAAACATACACACACATATACCTATAAAAAAACCCACACACACGATCGTTCGATCGAGAGAAAACGTTTCAAAACGTTTTTGCAGTAAAGTCGCTATTGCGCATGCGTAGTGCGCAAAGGAACCCTCTAAAACTCTTTAACCTAAGTTAAATATACTTTATAAACATTTAAGACTAGTTTAAAAACGTTTTAGAACGTTTTTACACCACATTTATTACCGCGCATGCGTAGTGCGCAGGGGACAGAAATTCTGTACCACATGTGTGAGTCGTAACTTTCATACACATATATAAGTTAAGTTATTCTATACCTAGAATAACGAATGTCCGAGTCCTCTTCGGCGCTCTCCGAGTGCCGAGAACTTCCCGATCTTTTGACCTCGTCATCCATCGGATGACGTCATGCTTAGAAATTGAATTGATTATCTCTGAGTAGTAAAGGTGGTCACCTAGGGGGTCAAGTAACTAGGCAACTTTCAGTTGCCTAGTTACTTGACCCCCTAGGTGACCACCTTTACTACTCAGAGATAATCAATTCAATTTCTAAGCATGACGTCATCCGATGGATGACGAGGTCAAAAGATCGAGAAGTTCTCGGCACTCGGAGAGCGCCGAAGAGGACTCGGACATTCGTTATTCTAGGTATAGAATAACTTAACTTATATATGTGTATGAAAGTTACGACTCACACATGTGGTACAGAATTTCTGTCCCCTGCGCACTACGCATGCGCGGTAATAAATGTGGTGTAAAAACGTTCTAAAACGTTTTTAAACTAGTCTTAAATGTTTATGAAGTATATTTAACTTAGGTTAAAGAGTTTTAGAGGGTTCCTTTGTGCACTACGCATGCGCAATAGCGACTTTACTGCAAAAACGTTTTGAAACGTTTTCTCTCGATCGAACGATCGTGTGTGGGGTTTTTTTTATAGGTATATGTGTGTGTATGTTTTTAGCCATGTCCTTTTTACCTAGGAATAAACTTTTTACCTACAGTAAAACTTATTACCCGCAGTAAAACTCCACATTCTTAGCCCTATCGGACTGAACTTATCGGAGTGTCGATCGCAATAATCCAAGATGGCGGCTACGTGGAAAAAAGTGCTCGTGTGAACACTTTGTCAGTAATAACTTCACTTTAAACTACCAAAAGAGTGAGAACCTTTGCTCTACAAGATGTAAGACTCAAATTGACCCATGATAGATCGCTCAGGTCATGACTACAAGACTTAGACTGAAAAAGGTGTTTCCTTGGCGGTCCGCTATAGTAAATGTAGGGAATTTTAGTACACTAGTAAAAGACACAAGAAATAAAGGTTTTAAACATATTTTATTGACAATGTTATGAACAAAAATGCATTATGCATACGAAGGATTAAATCTGAATCCATTGCGTGGCTGTCTAGCTAAATATTCTTGTTTAGCGAGTTCGCGTAGTTCTGTCAGTAAGTCTTTTGGTTTTTCGTCTTCGTTGGAGTAAATGTCCTCCTCCTCAGAGCTTTCTCTTATAACCTTGGGTTTATAGATAGCTGGTTTTCTTGACCTTTTCACTGTAGGTTTCGTTTGTTTCTTCTTCGCAGTCTGTTTCACTGTTTTCGTTTTCTTTGCGGGTGGCTTTTCACGTTTACGTTTGACTAGTTGCTTCGGACTTTCAACGTTGTGTGTGACTGCTGGTTGTACGTCTGTTATCTTTGGGACTGTGTGCGTACTTTTTGTGATGTTCGGGTAAGTATAACAGTTACCAAAGACATTAGCAATCACTTGTTTCTCGCTGGCTGTTTTAGGGTGATTGTCTAAAATAATATACCCGTAGGGTTTTTCGGTTTCTTTCATATAAGCAGACATAAATTTCGGTCTATCCTTCGCAAATGTTCGCTCCGCCATGATGTCCATTTGTTTTCGATCACTAGGACTACGAAACAATACCATGTATAGGGCGTTTCGTGAAATGTTGGTATTAAATTTCCCCTTGGGAAACATATTTTGTAACAGTAAAATGACACTTAAATTACGATGACGGCCACGAGTAAACAGCTGAGATATGAGTGGACTTTGCACAGCTTCTTCCATCAAGTCATCAAACACCCATAGGTTATGAACCTGATCATTGATGTCTTCTAAATTGTCGTTTACTACTGGTAACCCTTGAGTAAACGTAATACTTTTCCCGAGTGTCGATTGTATGCGTTCATACAGTGGTTGCCACTGGGTGTAAAACCATTGAATCTTTGTGGTTTTCCTACTTGGGTATTTGATACGTTTGCTTGAAAGCAATTGTTCCACAAAATAGGATTTCCCACTCTGAGTAGGTCCTACGACCATCATTGATGCCGGGTGTTGAAACTTAAACTCAGGGTAAGGTTGTATCTCTAAACATCCTGAAGCATTAAGAATTGGTGAGAACGACTGTGAAAATGTAGCGTTCTTCAAGTACAATTGTCGTTCATCGCTAGATAAATGATGAACCTGACGTAAGTGTTCGCTTAGCTTTAGTAAATCCTGTTTTCCGCAAATAGGACACACACGTCTGTGGCAGTAAGGCATCTTGACACTACGAAGTCTTAACACAAATGATTGTGATGACTAACATAATGAATTCGTTCTATTTATAGTTTTTTAGACCCATTAAAATGTGAGGGACCTTATAAGGTCCCTGGGACCTTGATAATTTTAGGGGCCTTTAAGGCCCCGGGGCCTTGGTGGTCTGAGGGGCCTTGTAGGGGCCTTGTAGGGGCCTTGGGCCTTAAGAATTTTTCGTAGGGGCCTTGGGACCTTTGGATGACACATTTGTAAGTTGCAGACTTTTTCCACCCATAAGAATTTTATTTTTGTAGACTTTTTCACACGTAAGAATTTTATTTTTGTAGACTTTTTCACACATAAGAATTTTATTTTTGTAGACTTTTTCACACATAAGATTTTTAGTTGTTGACTTTGACTGCAAACTTTGACTGAAAATTTTGACTTCAATCTACTCATTGAAAGACAACTGTATGAGCAAACCTCCATTCAAGTTTTGTTTCATAGTAAGCTGATCCGCTAACCCGTCCATGATTTCATCCATTTTGTTATAAGACCACTGATCTACGCGGAATTCACAGGTATAGACGACCTCACAATGTTCTCTGGAGGAGGCTCTGATTTTAATCTTGGATGTCTTGGAAGGTTTTGTTAATTCAATAATGTCATTCAATCCGTGGTATATAGGATACACTATTTCAAAATCCATATTTCTCATACCTTCTTTTGACGGAGGCTTTTGGGTTATGTCAACGACATATAAATAAGAACCAAATATTTGGGTATAACTGACTTGAAACAAGGGATCATCCAATGCTAACTCCATCCAATGGCAATTCTCCTGATTCTCAGGGTACATTTCTCTCTCTGTTTGCTCATGTGTAATCCACATGTCTTCTAAATCTTGATTCCGCGGTTCCTCTACTGGAGACCATTCATCATGCAGTCCTATCTTCATGATACCTTGTGTTAAATGAATGATAGTTTCACACGAACTATTCTTTTATGTTTTTCAGATCTCACCTCAGGCTATAAATTGACATCGGTCTCACGTTAAGAAATCATTTTTATCTCACCTCTTGTATGGGAAACATGTCTGCACTCGAAGAAACTCCCGCTGTCTCTGAACCTATCAAAGAAAATAATCCTCCCACTGTGTCTGAACCCACTGAGAAAAATATGGAAACTACAGTAAAAAGCAAGAAACCTACACTAAAAAGTTATCGTCAAAAACTGCAAGCAATCCAGGCACGTATCAAGTATCGTGAAAAAGCCATCAAGGGATTCAGAAACCATCTCAAAAAGGGCACATTTCCTAAACGGTTCAAATCATTACGGCCCTTCCCAAAAATGGAATCACCAGAATCACAAGCAGTCGTGAATGCGGCCTGTGAACAAGTACATTGTGTCATTTTAGATCAAATGATTTTGGATGAGGAGAAAAAACTTGTGCAAGATCAAACCAGTTATCAAACCATGAAAAAGGAACGGGCATGTGAACGCTCTCAGTTACTCAAGACATCCAAAAAACCCCAGAAATTGTCTGTGACACAGCTCATGCAGGAACTCACCGATTTGCAGTCCAAATATACCCAGCTCTGTAATCAATTAAACAGCACTAAGTAAAAATAAAACACATGTTTAAACTGTAATCATTGTGTGATTTTTTATTTTTTTTTTTTTTTTTTTATTATTGACCTCCTAAAACTAGTTACACGTATAGTGAAAAAAGTTACAATGCAGTAAACGTTAACTGTCCTCTAACATACTTGGCTTTCAATTTAAGCGGATATGATTGACCTACAATCAAAGTCTCTTGTTTAGGATATTCCACCAAAACTTCGTGTTTATTCTCTAAGTTTTTGGTGACTGGTGGGTTTAAATGTTTCACTACTTCTGAACCTTTAGCGAGTACTGTGTTTGATGTCACTGTAAACTTTTGTAAACCTTCGTCGTTTTCTCCTTGATATGTCCCTTGTATGTCTTCTTTTAATATATGGTCGAAATATGCAATCACTTTACCCACTCGAGGATCAATGTTCTCAATACATGTTGAACCTACAAAGGTGCGGTTTCCATTGATCTTGTTTTCCAGAAAGAAGTAAGACTTTATGGGTGTCTGACCGCAGTGGCAAATCTTGTGTTCGTTCTCTTCAATGGGTCGTGACTCCACAAACATCCATTCGTCTTTGCAATCTCGCTCTTCACTCAAATGTTGTAAATGTAGTTGCAAATTGACGTCTTGCTCCTTGCAAATATACCCGTGAACACGTCGCATGTGCGTTTGCCTGCTGTCTTGTCTTGTAAATGATGCGTTGCAGTGCCAACATTTGTAGCAGGGTTTTACCTCAGCACATACAGTTTCCAAATGAAGTTTCATTTTTTGTTTACCTGTGAATACTTGACGACATTTTGGACAAGTAAACCTTTGCGGATTCTTCAAATGTTGCCGTTGTACATGCCGTTGCATATTACCCTTCTGTGAAAACGAGAGTGGGCAGTATGGACAATGATATCGATTCTCTGTTGTACCACACTGCTTCTTATGAGGAAAGAAATTGCCTTTGCTCATTTCTTTTCCACATGTAGGACATGGTCTTGGATACGTGACTTTCGGCATGTTGCAAATCTGTAATGTTTTCACCAAATTTTCGATGCACTGAAATACATGTTCAAAGGTCCCAAGGGTAATGACGTCAGCAGGACATGTCTGGGCGTGATGGTCCCTTGGGATCTTAAATGTTTAGGCATGTTTTTTCGTGAATCACTGTGATGACCAATTTCATGTTATTAGCAGGTGCTTGAAGTTTAGCTAATAAGCAATTATAACTCAGCGCATCGAACATGGCTAACATTGTGTGTGATAAGGACACAGTCCACGGAAAGAAAGCAAACACTGGAATATTTGTCAACACTCCTAAACATTTTGTAAGCGGAAGCGCTATCGGTTCCACGGCTTGTAGCGTCAAATAACATCTTGTTTTCATGGAAAATCTTCGACTTTTCACCCAATGTTGTACTGCTCGTAATAAACCATCACTCATAGACATCAACAAATTTTCATTCTTTTCTGGTTTTCTGTGTTGGTGCACAGTGAGTTCCAACTGAAATTCTTCTTGCACTGCTACGTTATTTCTCACCACTCTGTCTGCAAATTCTGTTAACTCCACTGAAATTACTGGATTGTACAGATTATACCAATGTCCACTTTTGAAACGTTTTTCTTGCCAATACGATAACAGCTCCAAATCTTGCATGGATACCGACTGCATTTTGACTGTTATTTTAACACTGACACTTGTTTTATTTCTGAAAAATGCTGTCATCCCATTTTTAATTACACTCGTACCAGTCCTTCTCCTAGTTAGGGTTAAAATGCTAATAAACCCTAGTCCTTTGGGATTAGGGTTAGGGGTTAAAATGGTAATGAGGTTAGGGTTAAACCCTAGCCCCTTGGGATTAGGGTTAGAGTTAAAATGTTAATAAGCCCTAGTCCTTTGGGATTAGGGTTAGGGTTAAAATGCTAATAAGGTTAGGGTAAGGGTTAGGGTTAGGATTTAGGGTTAGGGTTAGGGTTTAGGGTTAGGGTTAGGGGTTAGGGTTACAGTTTAGGGTTAGGGTTAGGATTTAGGGTTAGGGTTAGGGTAAGTTTAGGGTTAGGGTTAGGGTTTAGGGTTAGGGTTAGGGGTTAGGGGTAGGGTTAGGGTTAGGTTTTTGGGTTAGGGTTAGGGTTAGGGTTAGGGAAATTTTCTCTTTTAGGTTAGGGTTTGGGAAATTTTCTCTTTGGTTAAGGGTTGGTGAAATTTTCTCTTTGGGTAAGGGTTTTGTGAATTTTTACGCACACACACACACACAAGTAACCACACCTGTAGTTTGTAACAACACATACTTTATTGGTTGGTGCCACCATGCAAACCTTACCTCTATTTTACAACGAACTAGTGAAAAACTAAACTTTTCCAAAAATTAACTAGAGCTCGCGCTTCCAAGCTACTGTGCTCTAGTTTTCAACAAAATAAAAACTTAACTCATGCAAAAAAGTTACATTCTAACGTAGCCATAAGGATAAGTCACCCCTGTTCCTTTTTCTACCACACGCTTATCCCAATTCACTTGGAATACTTTAACCATATCCTCTAAATGAATGCTTTTGACTTTACTATTCCTGACAAAATGATTAAAAATAGTGGTTTTTAACTGACGCTTGCTTTCTTCTGGGTCTTTCAGTTCCAACTGAATGTGATTCAACATGGACCCACAATTCAACACTTGTCTCACAGCATGTGTGTTTTTTAACCCCTTGCTTTTGCATTCGGTCTTACCTCCATTGGTCTTATAACTGTAGGACTTCGGTCCTGCTGATCCGAACTCTTCTATGGTATCTCCCCCTGTCTCATCTGTAAACTGACCTAAAAATTTGCCCAGTGGTAATCTGTCTTGACCGTGTTTGCTCTTATAGATGACTGAGTCTGTATCGTAATACAGGACTCTTTGTTGCAATACATCCAAGGCTTCATACAACTTGAGTCTAGCTATGGCTGTGGTAAACAAGGCAATAAAAATATTACCCCTTGTATTAGGAGCCCATGCGCCTTCTTTTTTTACTGTCGTCACTTCCATGACCTCTTCACTATACACATTGACACTTTTAACCATGACCGTATCATCGTTGATCAGTTTTTCCCAATCTGCTACTTTCTGGATGGTACTGGTGGTGGGTTTGTTGTCGGCCTCGCCAAATTTGCCCCAAAAACTGTTCAACATAACTTTGGCTACCGCCTTGCGTCCTGGATTGACCTCAATCTTGTCTGAATCCAACTTAATCCCTTCATGTACTTCATACTCAGCAATGTACGCTTCCTTTTGTTGGTCCGTTACACAATCACTTGGCCAGCCACTGGCTTCCTGTTTAGCTTTCAAAAATTTGTTGACGTAGGGAGCAAACAACCCTGTCTTTCTTTCGTTCTCACTCCAATGCCACACCTCATGAATCTTCAAAATTTTGTAGCCTTTACGTACGGCCATTTTGAGTTCCTCGGTACACCAAACACCGGTCATTAGTCGTTCCTTGTCTGTATGGTTACAAAGGTTAGTTCTTTCATGCCATGGTTGTTCCAATTGTTCTTGGGCACAGGTAGCACACAAAGTAAACATACATTTGTCATCAATTTTCATAGGCAATACGGGATGAAACAAACCTTCAGGAGCCAGGATATCCACTTTTGCCACACCAAAGTAATCGCCAATGTTCTGGTTTACAGGGTTGACAATGATGGTTGGGTGACCCAATGGATAAGTCCCATATTTGTTGACCCATGGGTACAATGACGTGTAATCCACATAGCTGATCTCTTCATCTTCGGCCGTTTTGGAGTACAGGGTCGCAGCACCAGTACGGCCTCCAAACAAGGCTTCTTTGGGGTTTAAAGGAGCCGTCCATTCCAAATCTTTGATCATGTCTTGTAACTCAGGATCAGTTGCAAGTTTTCGTTTGAAGTTACATTCCCATTCCACTTTGACTGTGTAACCAGCTTTCCTTAACACCTCTGTTTTCTTTTGAGTCAGATGATACATTTCCTCGACAGTGCGGTCTGGGTGGTGCCAAGTTTTGACATGTCGATTGTTTGGCTTACATTTAGGGCAGCCATGAAACTCGCAGCCGTGAAACTCGAAGACTGTTTTCTTGATGGGTTCATAGCCATCTACACGTACTTTCCCCCACGATTCTATCATGAGAGTTTGTTCCCCGCCATTCGCTGCATGCTTGATTCTATTGCCACCCAGCTTTTGGTCTTGGATATGCAGCCACTGAAATCCAATCTTGCTTTGAGCAGGTTTCATCCCACTCCATCCATGGGGTGGTTCCACAGCAATGGAGTAGGGAATCATTTGGTTATTCCGCCAAAAGTTGTGACAGGCACTGGCAATGGTGATATTTTCTTTCAACGGATTAAACTTGCACTCCTTTTCAAAATCGGCAGCAAAAGTTAGACAGCCTTCCTTCAGTAACTTGACATCGCTTTCACAGTACTCCAATAGTTCCTTTTCAAAATTCCAGCTTTCTCCCTTCAACATTTCCTCCGCATGCCATTTTTCCACGGCTTCTTTTTTCTTGGTGTTCATGCAATTAGTCTCATAATACTTTAGGTCAGGCAATGGTCCTTCGTAGTTCTGGTTTTCTTTTCTGTTAAATGAATGAGGAAAGTAGCCCTTCTTCAGCTCAGTCAAACCAAACGTCTTGGTAAAATTCTCCAACGGCATATTCAAAAAGGACATAGAGTCCTTGAACTTTAGTCTGTCACATTCAAAGTACAAGATCTTCTGACCCGTCATCAGCACTTTAGACACTTTCAGGTTCATGTCATACAGCTGCTTGATGATAAACACGCCATCAAATCCTCTAAAATTGTGAAAGTATACTTGCATTTCTAGTTGATTCCATCGCAAATTGTTTTCTTTTTCTAGTTCTTTTAGCATTGCCATGAGCCTGTTATAAAAGTCACGTAGACATGTTCTACCCCAACACTGGTATTTTTCGTCTGAGGTTTCTCGTTCAAAACAAATGAGGTTTGGTGTAAACTGCCTTTGGTCATCAATACAACATTCAATGTCTGCAAATACGAGCT